TGTGTGTGTGTGTGTGTGTGTGTGTGCGCGCCCGTGTGTCTCATCAGTGAAGCAGTTACGTGCCTAGTGTGCGTCATCGCTGAAGACCTTCATGGCCAGAAGAGCATAGAGAGGTCAGAATGGCCCTGAGAGAACAACAGTGACACACACACAGTTTCCAAACATCTGCCCCGTCTCCCACTTGAACACACTCTTTCCATCTCTCTCCCTGAATTGTATCCCCGAAACCATCACATGTATGCGCACACGCGCTTAGTCGGTATCCAGGTGGAGGGTCTTTACAGCCCTCTCATCCAGCAGCAGTACACCAGTCTGTCCAGTGGAGGGCACTGTAAGCCCACACATAAACAGTAACCACAGTGAAGGAACCACACTTTATGCCTCCTGTAGTCAATGCAATTAGATTTAAAATAAAACTTGCTACTCTACTTAAATACACCAATACCCAAACTACTGTTTAATAATGTGGCAATTAAAATGGTTTAGTTCAAGGCTAATATAAAATTAGCAGTTAACATTGGAAGTACGTGGTAGAAGTATACAATTATTTTACTTAGTAGTGTACTGGAGTTTTTCGTCATCCAAATGTGGACAAATGATGAGTTTGCGAGCTGCTGTCAACCATGGGATTAATTAACAAGCTGTGTAATACAATGACTAACAATTGTAACATCAAAATCCTCAAATATACATATATTTTATATATTCCATTACGGATGGACCTTAAATGAGTGATTACATGTTGTCGACTAAAAGGGTACCGGATCTGTGTTTATTTAATTTGAAATGGAATCAAATAGTATAACAACCTGCACATATATTCTATCTATATATATATATATATATATATATATATATATATATATATATAATATATATTAGGACTACTTTCAGACGTGTTGTTCCTTTCAGTCTTGGTTGAAAGCTATAGCCCAATGTAAAAAGCAGATGGCAAAGCCAAACCAATTTCTGTATTCTATATATATTTTTTCAATTGGTATGTGTATGTTTTTTTATTTTTTTTAATGTTTCTAAACCAATTTTAGTTTAATAATACACAATTTAGTTATTTAAGCTACAATTACACTGTTCATGCACCAGGGGAGCGCAAGTGAGCACAGTCTTGGCCCCTCCCACAAGCCCTCCCCCTGCATCCTGGCCCTCCCACATCCTGCCCCCGTCCCCCCTCCCCACTGCCCCACCCTGCCATCTGGTTCTTTTCACACACGCACAGACGCGCGCACACACACACACAGTCGGGACTTTTTATTTTTTCTGATTTCCTTTCACAGTGGAAAAACAGGATGAAGGGGCTCTTTCAGACCTGGGTAACCGTGGAAACCCCCTTTATTCTTCCTCTGTCAAACTTGCTTACATTGTAACACACACGCACATACTCTTTTAAAGAGAGTGACCGCATGTTGGACATTTAAAGTTTAAAGGGACCAAAGCTACAGCTGTCCTTCTGTCTGCCTTAGTTTGGGCCTTCTGTTCTGGTTTAGACAAAGAACTTTATGCCCCCCTCCCTTTTTTCTTTTTTTCTTTGTCTTATTCCCCTTTTAGTACTAATAATGTATCTTTCTTAAAGTAAACCTTCTAAAGTTCCCAGAAATGTGTTGCAAAGGCAAAGAATGTGTTTGTGTCTTTGTGTGGTTCTTTTAATTGGGCAACCTCAGTCATTTTTTCCGAAGAAACTGCGCAAGCCTCGGATGTTGATGTAACTATAAACCCTCTTCTCTCTCCAGCCCTGGAATGCTGCATGGAAAAAGTTAGTTGGAAGTTAAATAAAGTTAATCTTTTGCATTCTTTCTATGTTGCCACGAGGGGGCTGATGAAAAACATATTAATGTACAATGGAGCACATCATGTGCAAGCTTTTAGTGGGTTGAAAATAAACCGCATTCACTCCACAAGCGGGGAGTGGATTCACTAAGGATGAAAACAGTGTGTGTAAAAACAGGAGAAGAGATTGAAACGAGAAGAGACTTAAACTATTCTTTGAGTGGAGTCCGTGGCTGAGAGTGCAAAGGAATCCACGTACCACACATTTCTACCTCTAATTTCTCCTTTTCTGTCTGTCTCTTCTCGTACTATCTGCCTTTCTCTAAGCCTGGCTACCCGTCACCTTCTCCACCACACATTTTGTCCTTTTAAGGAGTGAGGGACTCACAGAGTAAGGGAATAGGAGGAAGGGGGGTTGAAGGACACACTCGGGCCTGCTGACCGATAAACAGACTCCTCTTTGTGCTGATACACACACACACACACACAAAGTTATAGATTGACTGAGAACTCTACATGACTTGGCTCGTGATCCTCTGCACCCCTCTTTCACCTCTTCTTCTCCTCCTCCCTCTGTTTTTCTCTTGCCCCTAATTGAAAGCAGAAGTCAAATTGGAAGAAGTTGTTTTTCTTCTTCCATGAGACACACACACACGCATGCTTTTGGGGCATGTGTGCGCACACACACACACACACACACACACTCACAGCCCCCATCCTCATCATCTGTCAGTGCCAAGCAGCTGTTGGGGAGACGAGGGGGAGGTGTTCCAGGAAAGGAGAATTGTGTGCGTGGCAGTGATTTCTTTCCACAAAAGGTGGTGGTCTTTGTATGACAGTAAAACCAAAAGGCAGCTGCGACGATAAAACATGTGGATGTGAACATGTCTGCGTGTGCTCGTGCATGTTTATTTGGCGGGGGGGGTTTGTGCATACCGTCTAGCCACACGTGTGTTCTGCCTTCCCGGTAGACTCCTCTCCTCCCCCACAGTGACTAAGTGTAACGTGGTGCATTGGTCCATAGCCGACGCTAGAGGTGCCATCGGATCATAAATGAAATGAAGACCGCATGTGGGAAACCACACAGCAGCCATTTTACAATCTGCACAGCAGACCCCATTTTATGAATCAGCCATAATGTGGCAGATTTCATTGGCTGGAGCGCAGCTGGCTCCGGCTACGACAGCACGGATGCACACACAGACACACACACACACACAGTGTCTCACTGGCTCTACATCTATCTTAGATGCACACACACATGGGCGCACACAGTGACCTCGTGATGCCTTCACCGGCTCTAGTCTTGTCCATGAGATTAGAAGTGTCTGCTCTGTAAGCACACGTATGCCGCCTGTCTTTGTACAAGGCCGCATGTGCACATTTTTTTTTAACAAAGCACACGCATATAAATGTGTGTGCTTTGTTTACAGATGAAAGCTCTTCACTTTTATTTGGTGACTTTATGCCTCGCTAAATCTTTTTTTTCCTCCTCCTTTTTAGATTGTACTTTCTGGAAAAAGTGGATTATTTCAGGGTCCCGATGGGTCTCCCTGTTTGTGTGTCTGTCCCGAGGTGTTTATTTGTAGATGCTTGTCACTTCCTTTGAGTCTATCATAACCTTTCAGCCGTGACTATTTCTGTTTATGTGTTTGTGTAAAGCTATCGTCTTGTTTCCTCTCAGATGAGAGATTTTCCTGTGTGTGTGTGTGTGTGTGTGTGTGTGTGTGTGTGTGTGTGTGATGGACGACTTCCTGCCGTGGCTTCCTGCCCGCAGCAGAGACTGGCCGGAGTGCTGGACACACAATAGTATTATTGATTCGTGGTAGCGATGCACACGGCTGATCTCACAGATATAAGACAAATTATACGCAAGCGCTAGAAGAACGGAGTTCAAAGAGACGAGATTGCGTCCGACTTTAGATACGAGTGGCGGTTGATCCTGAGAGGAGCTTCACACAGCTGAATGAAACAATGGGACTTATTGAGGCCACCGTCCACTGACTGGCTGCTTTGTCCACAAGTTTATGCTCTCAATGGAGGGATGAGAAGCTCATTAAGAGGCCCCAGACTGTCTGACTGATTGGCCTCTTGCGTACAGACAAAGCCTGGCCGGACATATGGGGGGACGGACAGACCAACTCTGCTTCTGATGTCATTACGGGAGGTCACCGTCGGGAAGTGGAAACAGGTGGACTCGGCGGAACGGGGGCTGGTTTTGGATTTGTATCATTTTGTCAGTGTGATTCATAAAGTCCGGCTCTTGCTCAACAGGAGGTACAAACTCTGTTTGTGGCTGACTGGTTTGCCCACGGTGATTCTTCTTTCCTGCTACTGTCCGGTCTTAACAAAGATAACACACTGAGAAGGCCACAGATGGAATTAGACTAAACCTAGGGAGAGACTGGAAAAATAACTCCGGGTCAGGAAGTGGTTGAGGCAATGCTTCTTATAGTTCATACCGAATTAATTGGAAGAATAGTCTCATTAAGACACTATATTCTTCCGTGTCATGCCCATAAAGATAAGAGAAACGTATTTCTCCTGCATCTTCCTATGAGTATTGCATTGAGTCTCAGTAGTCAAACCTGTGTGCTTGTTCATTTTCCGCTCCTAATTATCCTACCCCCTACCCTCTGTGTGTGCACACACACACACACACACACACACACACACACACACACACACACACACACACACACACACACACACACACACACACACACACACACATCTGTACAGTCACCACCCTGACCTTGTCAGATCAGCCTAATGTGAAGCGTGTGATGTGATCTACTGTATATGAGTGCGCGCAGACTTTGAACGCCTTACAGCTGACATACGTCCGACCATATTTACCACAACCGTGTGCAGCGGGAAGTGTTTCCCCCGGTGTTTCATGCGGTTTCATTGTACCCCAAGGACAGCGATACAATAACCCCCGACACCTCCGTGACACCATACAGTTGGCAGGGACTGAAAAATGTGACGGCCGTGCCAAGTCAGTCAGTTTTTATAGCATCAAATGGGCCGTCTGTCCGCCCCTCGTATCCACTTCTCGCACTATTACAGAACCTCTGTGCTTTTTTGCAACATAATTTCTATTCATAACCAGCTGTACTGGTCACCACACAAAACAAAGTCACTTGAGAAATATGTTTCTGTGCTTCTCTGAATGTTACCAATCACCCTCCCCATTTCTTTATTCCCCTTCCCAGCCAAAATGGAGCAGGATGGCGCAGATGAAAAGAAGCAGCTGCAGAAGAAGAAGGTCAAGGAGCTGAAGATTCTCGACTCAAAGTGCTCACAGAACCTCTGTAAGTCCACGGAGGCCCTTCTGTCTGAACGTATAACAATGGCATCACTCTTCAAATGCATTCTTCCTTACTGGATGTCAACTCTGTCTGCTCATACAGCCATTTTCCTGGGATCCTTCCGTGTCCCTTATGAGGAAATCAAGAACGCCATCCTGGAGGTTAATGAGAAGGTCATCACAGAGTCCATGGTTCAGGTATTGTATCTTCTAATATGGTGTCGGTTTTCGGGTATTATTCCCCACATAGCTTTGAATAAATGAAGTGTATTGAGCTCATGGTACGCTCCCCTGACTGCCAGCGTCTCCCCTGCGTCCTTCAAAAGGACATTTCTCATTGTCTTTCATACATTATCTCTGGCAGCGTAAGATGGGCATCATGCTTAATTTTGATAGCATATGACCTTCAAGATTCCTCATACATTGAATCCTCGCGGCTAAGGCTCATTATCTGAACCTGGACACTGACTGTCCCTCGCATTGGGATACTCTACCAGAGGACATTTGGGTCCGGGGCCACGTCTTTGTGTTTTGTGTCGACCTGCGTCTCGCTAAAGGAATATGTTGGGACGCATCCATATCTTGGTGGTCATGTAGAGTATATTCTGCTCTCCTTGTCTCATAGAGCCTGATCAAACTCCTACCAGAAGCAGAGCAGCTCGGTGTCCTGGCAGAGATGAAAGATGAATATAATGACTTGGCTGAGTCGGAGCAGTTTGCAGTAGTGGTGAGAAAACTTACACACACACGCAGGGTCATCACACAAAACAAACAATTTAGTTTTTTTTCTAATGAAATTTCCAGCTGACTCGTACATGATCAACCACAAACAGGGCCGAGAAATCAGCGTAAAGGCAATTGAGTCATGTGAAATGTTGAAATACTGAAGTAGAGTCATACCGTCGTCAATACATTAGACACAGAGAACCCTCACGCTGTTCAACACAGACTTCTTTGTCCGGCTGTAACGGATGTGAGTAATGAAGGAAGCCCCCTTCGATCCCACATAACTGCACACAATCTACGTGGCAACAAACACCCCTCCCGCTTCTTCCTCCCCCCCTCTCCTTCTCCAGATGTCCGGTGTGAAGCGCCTGACGCCACGGCTCCAGGCCGTCCTGTTCAAGCTGCAGTTTGAGGAGCAGCTGAACAACATCAAGCCAGATGTGGTGTCTGTGACCGCGGCCTGCGAGGAGCTCAGTCAAAGCCAGGCCTTCACCAAGCTACTGGAGATCATCCTCCTTGTCGGGAACTACATGAATGCGGGCTCCCGCAACGGGAAGGCATTTGGCTTCTCCATGTCATACTTGTGCAAGGTAAAAATCTGGTGGAGGCGTCACACAGAACACAGAACAAACAGTGGGTGAACGTGCTTGAAAGGCCTTTAGTTGGAACTTTTGGGTACTTCTCGGAAGTCATGTGTGGCAACGCTGAGGTATAGTAATAATAATAATGTAAATTATGATTATTCTTAACAAAAACAAAGTAACAAAGTAAAATCACTGCGATATTAATCCTTTTTATTCAGGTGAGTGACGTCAAACCAAATTAATCTAGACGATATCAATGCTAGATTGTCCCTTATGTCTTTCCAATTCTATCTTTAGGGATGCCATGTAGTACACACAGATATGAACATGTGCAGATGGCCATTTAACTCCGTCCTCTGTACTTTACTGTTCTTGTATTATTTTACTTCACTACGCTTTCTTTTATTGTGAAATAGGCACATTGACGTGAGTGCAGAAATGTTTGGATTTTGGAAAACCTTTATCCTACTTGCTGTAACTGAAAAGTGCGGTGAGCCATTTTTAAATCAATCCTTCTCAGCTGCGGGACACCAAATCAGCTGACCTGAAGCAGACGCTGCTCCATTTCCTCGTCGACGTGTGCCAGGAGCAGCATCCTGAGGTCATGGGCTTTGCAGACGAGCTCATCCACGTAGAAAAGGCCAGCAGAGGTACATGGGAAATATGATGGTGTGAAAAACCTCCATCCATCCATATATAACCATGCATACCACCCGCCGCTTACAAACTGTCGTCATCTTATGGACACGGTTTGGTCGTTTTGTTATAGGAGTGTGAAAACACAACGGCCAGTTATAATCTATGTATGTAGGTGCTCTTCATCATTCGCATTTCTTCTGCAGTTTCTGCGGAGACACTTCAGAAGAACCTTGACCAGATGGGGCGTCAGATCAAGAACCTCAAAAAAGACCTGGAAACATTTCCTCCTCCACAAAGTGACAAGGACCTGTTTGTGGAGAAGATGTCTATATCCTCTTTATTCAGTCAAACAAATAGACCTTATTATTTCTCGATGTATGACTGTAGTCTCTCACAGATACAGAGAGCTATCTTCTATGTTCCTTAACAGCATGTCTCCACAGTTTTGTGAGTACCGCCGAAGAGCAGTTTGAGAAGCTGGATATGCTTCATAAGAATATGGAGAAGCAATATAACGACCTGGGAGAGTACTTTGTCTTTGACCCGAGAAAAATCTCCGTAGAGGAATTCTTTGGAGACCTCAACACCTTTAAGAACATGTTCCAGGTGTGTGTTCATGTGCATGTGACTCGTGAGTAATCTGACCTGAAGTTAGTTTATACATCAACTGTAAGTGGGCTGTAACTTTTTTTACCAATCACTGTGGGTAACCGCCATTAGCAGCACTAGTTATGGAGTTATGTCTACACACAGACATTTATCACATATATATACTTCTTTAAATTCCTTCTGTATTTTTTTAATTCAAACTTATCCACACCCAACACCCCGGCATATTTAGCATGCCCACGTTGTCTGATGTCCTTCTCTGTTTGTCCCCGGAACAGCAAGCCGTGAAGGAGAATCAGAAACGTAAAGAGGCTGAAGAGAAGATCAAGAGGGCCAAGCTGGCCAGGGAGAAGGCAGATAAGGAGAAGGAGGCCAAACTGAAGAACCAGAGCCTTGACATCAACGCAGGTCACTTATTGCTGGGTCGTATCTGTTTACCGCTTTGTGTGACTGAAAGCAGGAGAAACACTCCGTCTATCAGTTTGCATTCCCCTCAGACTCCAGTTGGGGGCAGTCAGAGTCCATGCTTTTATGGATTATCTGTATGTGTGTGTGCGTGTATTTGTGTGTGTGAAAGAACAACCCGTCAGTATTTATAGAGCAAAGTTAATCTAATGTTGATGACCTTGGTTTTTAAGCAAGTAACAATAATCTGCACTGAAAGTGAGGACATGGAGGATGTATATCAGGAACCGCCTGACCTCTTTTCACTCCTCAAGGGAACAGGGGATTTGTTTTCATAAACTCTTTATCACCAAAAACATATTTCCACTCTTCTATGGAATGCTGTGTACTTAGAGAAATCCTATCAGCATATTACACACACACACACACACATTCTCACTCGCTCATCCTCAGATACATACAGTTCAATCTAAAATCCTGCCTTGCAGACGCACATTTCTTCCCTCACAGTGTGACCTAGTTTGAGTGCATTCCTCCTCTCTGGCTGCGGTCTTGTTCTCCCGGGACCCCACAGTCCAAATGTGCTGCAGCGTATTACAAAATGACTACTAGTTGCTACTAGTTTCTTTTACCCGCTGTGATTGTTTCTGTTTTTCCCAGCCTACACGTTGATGTGTTTTCGCACTCTGTGTGCGTTTCAGACTGTGTGTTTGTGTGTCTGCTTTAAACCCCTTTTACAAGGAGTCTTTCCAGCCTTTCTCCGAGTGCCCCGCGGTCCAGCTGGCTTCTCCTCTCCTCTTTCTTGCTTTTGTTCCATCACTCCCTCTCTTCCCCCCCCCCCCCCCTGTCGTTCGTTTAAAGGGCACTTAAAGACGCAGCAAGCACCGTGGCTCTGCTCTGAATGTTCAGTGTCTGTGTTTAAAGTATGGAGGAAAACAGTTTGTGGTGGTCAAGTTTCCTGCTAGAGGCATGCACACATGCAGCACAATAGTGCTTCAAAGGCTGCGTGAGTGGGCTGGAGATTATTTACATACAGGTGGCGAATTTGACTGCCCCCGTAGCCCAGTCTAGTCATTCGATACCCTCCTATTTAAATGAAACCACACACAAATCTGCCATGGACACACCTGGTCTTTGTTCTCTATTTGTTTATAAGCATCATCCCGGATGGCTACTATGCAAAGGTTGTTTTCAGCAGCTAGGCTTTCAGTTCCCCCAGCCTTCAACTCGCATACCCCCACTATCTCACAAACGCCTTTGTGGACATAATGTACCAGTTGTTGATGAAACCCTTGAAGGTCAGTGTGTGTTTGCACTTTGTGGCCTTGTCATTCCTGTGTGAGTCAGACAGAGGGGCGCTGATTCAGTGCAGCCTCGGCTTGGGGAACAAAGAGTTCCACATTTGGATGATCAGCTCCATACTTGTTTGTACTCCACTTTATTTGGCTGCATTGTTCAGACTACTAGCGCCACGGGATCCCTCCCCAGCTGTCACACACTCATCTTTGGAAACGCGCCGGACTACTAAGCCTATGACCCTTTCTCATTTCCACAGCTAGGTGTCAGTGCCGTCGGTAAAAGAAGATGTGTGGTGCTGTGTGCTCGTATGTAGGTAGCAAACATTACACACCCACAGAGATGCTGGTATGGGAACAGCCACTAGGAGTGCTCGCGCTCTACGCAGAGAGAGAGTGAGAGAGAGAGAGAAGAGTGTGGGGGAGGGAGACGGGGCAGCAGGGCAGCAGATGCTCTCTTGAGGATTAGACCGTGATGTTGTTGTTCTTATAGAAAAGGAGGTAAGGAGCCGAGGAGGGAAGCACATGGTGACAGAGGGGATGAGATGGGATAAGCCCGGGTAGCGTCCCTCGCTGCAGGCCACCGGGAAGAGGGCAACGATTGAGGCACATTAGCAATATCCAGATTCGGTCTCCCGACCCGCGAGGACACTTGATTTTCTTCCATAATTCTTTTCCCCCCCCTTTTCTCTCGTTGTTTCTGTTTGTTTTAACTCCTCATCTCTGTGAATGTTTCCATCCATGTCCTCCTCTGTTGTTGTGTGAACGTCCATTAGGGGTGCTACTGCTCCACACAAGATGCTGTCTTGGTGTGTGCGTGCGTGCGCATGTAATGAAGACCAGATCCAAAGAGGCTTGTTTAAGAGCTCATTCTATTACACTAATTAAGTGTGTGTGTGTGTGTGTGTGTCTCTCCATGCCTTTGTTGCACTCACTCTGTCTTTGCTGGCAGTTTTTGAGGCCATTTCAATCGCTTTTTTTGTATTGATTCTCTATAACAGCACCATTGCCCTGATACCCTGAGTCAAGTCATGTGAACACAAGAGCACATGAGTATCAACAAGTGATCCAACCCAACCAGTGTCCCCCTGCGTTATCAGCCCTATTTGTGATCACTAACAAAGCACACATTGTAAAGCTTCCCCTGTGAAAATGAAGACTTGTATATGGCTTTATGAAGTTGTGTTGCCAAGCCCCCACTCAGACAATAAACAGTGGAGAGATGTATAATGCTATACAGTGCACTAGTAGGGAGTTCTTTTATACACAGCCAGGTCATTGTTGGGGTCCCTCTATCGCCTGTGGGACAGTCACAAATAGGTTTGTGTGTGTGTGTGTGTGTGTGTGTGTGTGTGTGTGTGTGTGTGCGCTTCACCACTAGTTTAAGCCAACCATGTGATTAGAGTAAGGGGAAACGGGCCAGATGTGTTTCCCCGGAAGAAGGCGGAAAAAAAAATGGGCTGCATCCCTGCGAGTGTAGTTCCGGGACGTGGACGTTGAGGGGTGTATGTGAGCCGTGGAGGCCCTGTGCGGTGTGTGAGGGAGACTTTCTCTGGCGAGACCACAGGCCATCTGCTCCATGGCTTACTGCAGGATTAGATATTCTCTGTGTTTGGGGGTTGGGGAGGTGACGGCATAAACCTTTAACCCCACCTCACTGCCCCCTTTTTTTAGACCCCTCCGTCTCCATTCAGGTTCAAATAGAAATAATTAAAACCATCTGCCCGACGCTGAGATGAGCCACTGAATCCTGTCTAGAAAACAAGCTACACACACACACACAAGCACACAGCAAACCTTGCCATGGTGTCTCTCCCCCCCGCCTGCCATATACACCCCCATTCTCTGATCTCTGATTTAAGACCTTGGATAAGCAACGTGCGTGTAAACAAACAACAAACCCACCTGTAAAAACTGTCCCTGTTCCCATAAAGAGATACAAGGTTAATTTTCAGTCGGCACCCTTTTAACTGAAAGCCCAAATTACACATCGCTGTAGTATTTCATTGCTCATGGAAAAGTCTGCTCTCAGTGGGTGTGTCTTTCTAATAAGGCCGTGTTTGTGCGTTTACAGAGGTTACCTCCCAGAGAGTGACCCATGTAGCCGCTAGCAGAGACAGTAGCTGAACTAGGTCACTTCCTATCTGGGTTAATGCACTGTAGCTAATTTGCCAACGTGGCCATGTGGCTGGTAAAGAACCTCCCCGCCCACGCGTGTTTTGGCCATGTCCATGAGGAACAGTTATAGGTAGAGGGAACACAAAAACCACCCATCACTCCCCCGCTGTCGGGGCGGAAGATTGGCACGTACGTCAGGGCTGTATTGATTTAAAATAACACGGTTGCGATGACTAAGTTGTGTGTGTGTGTGTGTGTGTGTGTCTGTCTCCACATGTTGTTTGATCCCAGTGTTCTTCTGATGCATTGCTGACGTGGTGGATGCTGTGTTTTACAGAGGGGGATGAGACTGGTATCATGGACGGCCTGTTGGAGGCGCTGCAGTCCGGCGCTGCTTTCAGGAGAAAGAGAGGACCACGGCAAGCAGGTACTCACTCGTACACCAGGAAACAGTGTCCCAAAGGTGTCCCAAAGTTTCCTCGTTCCCTGATTCCCGTTTCCTTCCACACACACATACATACGCACTTTTAGGTACAAGGAAGAGACGCACAAAGCCTGTGAGACTCATTTGTTCCGTACCCCTCTTCCTCTGTGTCTTTGAGTCTCTGTCAACACACAACCACAGATTTGTTTGTGCTGCTCGTGTCTCCGTCCCATCTGTTGCACGGCCCACAGGCCTTGGCTGGTGGTGGTATTTGGTGGCCATGGTTACCAATGGCTGGCACAACGACAGAGGAATGAAGGCGGGCCAAAGGGTGGCCGTGGAAAGGGAATTCATAAGAGGAATATGAAGGGCAGCCAAGGTGGATGGACCAGTGTGAGTTGACCCTTTAAGGAAGTGCAATTAGTCATCGGTCAAATTTGGACACCAGGTTAAAGAATGAAAAACTCCCGTCATCATCAAATATGCAACCCGTGTGCAAAATATTACATTTCACTTCTTTTTATGTAAGCTGTGAAACCCCAGCTCACTGCAAATCAAATCTATAACATCAAAAACATTCAACCTAAAATCTATTTTTCACTTTATCTTGGAACCCCAAAAAATGGCCGCTATGTTTTTGTGATTACTGGGCCAGCCAGAAGTCCACTTCCCGTATGGGAGCACATGAACACAAACCCAGTCTGGATTGTTGATCATTCAAACCACGGGAGACCAGCCAGCAATGTGGTGAGCTGCCCGTTTTCCCGTTTTCCCCACCGCTCCTTCCAGCTCGCTCGGATACCAGAGTCGTCTTCTCCCTCCCTTCTCGTTAATTGGGCCACATTTTGTGTTTAATGTGTATTTGTATGACCATGCAAATGAACATGAGGCACTGTGAGCTTTTATGATACTAACTTGTAACATGATACTGCCTGCTGGGAAACGTGTGTGAAACCATGTGAGCCCATTAACTCTGGGGGAGAGCGAGCGAGTGTGTGCGTGTAAGCATGCGAGCGTGTGCGCGCCCTTATTCTCATGCATTGGCTTGTGTGGGTTGGGTATTCACACATAACACAGGCTGAAGAATGAGTGAGTGCAACCCAATACCTCCTTCATTAAAAGCCAGATGTGAAGCGGCGCTGCAGAGTGCAACAGAGCCAGAGCGTCGTCTGCACTTTCTTTTTTTCGACCTTTCTGTTTTTTACTGTCTTGCGGTGTCTTTCATCTTTTTTTTTTTTTTTTTCATTCACCAAATGCATTTTTATAGCCTGTTAGCCCAAAATGTCCATAAAAAGGAAACGGGTTATAACAAGTGGGGCTCAGTAAGTCACAGCAAGTACACCTCTAAGTGCAGCAAACTGTCTTTGATCAGAGTGCTACTCTCACCACTAAGCTGAAAACAGTTTTAAAGGGGGGATGTGGGGGAGAGGTGTGAGCTGGGGAAAGGAGCCCCGTGTGTGAGAGAAAATGGGGCCCATTTGAGGGCTCACTCAGTCCCCCATAATGCTGTTTGGCCGCCTCGCTTTCCAAACAGGAAATGCCTTCCAGTGCGTTGGAGAGCGAGTAAGTGGGAAAGAACCTTCCTCCTTCTGTGGTGGAAAAAAAGAGGGGAAGATATAAGTGACTGCATGTATCACGTCTCCTCTTTGTGCCCCCCCCCCCCTCAGACTTATCGTTTTAGTTTTCTCTCCCGTGATTTTTGGGCAAAACTCTGCTTTGTTGAAGGTTACATTTTCTTCACATATGTTTAGTAGCCACTCCTTTCCAGTTACCCACATTGCTATGGACACCCTCCAGAAGTCCTTCCCTCGCACAATGAGTCACATGTCCTAATTCAATGAATGGCTCATCCGGACGGTGGCGCCAGAGGCAGCCTGTTTAAGAACACGCCTGTATTCATGTATGCACGGGCCTTTCTTTTGTATCCATAATGTGTAATACTATAATATACACAGTATAATAGATCCAGAAGATGTGACAGAAAATGTGACTTGTTTTCTTATTGTTACAAAACCCAAAGACAGAAGGAGCCACAGCTCATGGAAAAATACAACATTCCCTTTTCTATAAATAGCGGTAGATACATTTAGAGCTGTAGGATTTCTTAAAGGTGACATTTTTTCCTCCTCACTGATGATGAGATAAAATATGTCACATGCCCCTAGACCAGTTGAATCAGTTGCTCATCCAATCTCACGGTTTTCCGTGCAAATACTATTGACTTTTTCACTTGAGCATTAAAACATTTAATGTTGTAACATTGTAATAATAGTTAAACTAATAATAAACCGGCATGTACAGCCGATTAGAGGCCGGGCGTACATTAGACTGTATTAAATGGTCTTTTCACAGCTTTGAAATGCTTTTGAGGACGACGTCATAAGGTGGTCAATGGGGGACAATGAAAGGAATACTTGCATAAACATTTACAACTTTGTCCCAGGGATTTAATATTGTGGTTATTATGCATTTATTCATATTTAGTTATTGGTTGAACAGTTACTGTTCTACATTGGTGTGTGATTGTAAGATCTCATTTTAATCAGAATTCAAAAGACACAACGTCCACTGTCTCATTCATCATTCATCAGCTCTCTTAACACATTATTATTTTATAATATTGACTACAAGCAAAAACAAACACCGAGAACCTTATCCTTATTCTGTGGTTGTGTATCCTTCACATGTAAGCAACGCTATTGTATTAAGTGTTCTGATGGACCACAATAGCAAGTGAGGGTCTCCATTACGGGACGTGTGTCCCGCTCCTCTTTCTTTCTTCTCTTCACAGCTGTGTCGACCGTAAACGTCCTCAACTTTGTGTTGAAGGGCCCATTGAGTGTGCGGTCGCGCTTATTGTGTCACAGCATCGTGACTGAAAGGAAAGCCACGAGGCTACGAAGGCTATATGCATTCTGACCTTTGACCTGCACCTCAGCTCACTCTGTGTGTGTGTGTCTTTGTGCTGGTTGTGTTGAATGAGAGGACTGCATGGGGTGTCCTCAGCTGTCCGTCTAACCCCCCTCCTTTAAACACATAGACAAAACGCACACACCAGATGCTTGCATGCCAATACAAAGACACAGGGAAGCGTGCGTACCCATGCATGCACCCAAATCGAGACGTTACGTCCAAGAGGACGTTCTTCCAACACTCAAGTCTCTGCTTGAGATTGTAACTTATCGTCTGTCTGCGTCTACACAGCTTCGCTGAATCAGACTAATTTGTCCATGCATGCGTTTAAAGCAATATATGGGCACTCGTGTGTGTGTGTGTGTGTGTGGAGGAATGATGTGTTCAGACACTCAGTGTGGACCCATCTGCGGGGTCGCGACCCAGCCACAGCAACCAATCGCAGCCGCAACTAGTTACAAAGCACCAATCACAACAGAGGGACGCGGATAAACGCGATGGCAACAAAAGAGGCACACGCTGGCACCGCAGACCCCTACAATTGAATAAAGAAGCTCCCTATAGAGGTCTGTGCTGTCCCAGATGTTCACATAAATACACACACACACAGAGGAAGAGATCATTCGGACCAATAGAACTCATCAATCACGTCATTATCAAGCCTCACATATGCACCAGTTGGGGCACATGAAATGCCGGCGGGCACATCAGCACCACACACAAGCCGGCAGTGGTTCTAGATGACGTCACCATTTCCCACAGTCCTCCAGTGCCGAGCTGCTGTGTTACGCAGCACGTCCTGAGGAGGGCGCTGTGAGTCCCTCAGACAGAGACACTGAAGGAGCTCCAGCCGCCCTCTGCAAACACGCCATCCCGCTCGCTCATAATGGCGCCGTTACCATGTTGTCATGTGACCGGGGGCTTTGCTGCAGCTGCTGTTGCTGACTGTGAGCTTAGAGAAGAAAGATGGCTGCTTCGCTGTTGGTCACAGCAATGCAGAGTCCATGCTCACTAAGTCGCAGTGTACGCTTTGTGCGGGATACAGACTGTGTGCACTTTGTGTGTTCACCAAGGTCCCCGAGACACTTCCCCGAGGAAGCTTCTTGTCTCCAGCTGCCTCACACTTGCATTGCTGCAAATCCTCACCCATCTTTTTTTTCTTTACTTTCCCCTCATAAGGTCAACACACTTGCATGCTGTACAACAAAGGGCTCTTTCCCTCATCAGCCAGTCATTATTCAGTCTCCTGCAGCGTAATGTGTTACAGACGATCTTTATGCCTCTGATTGCCCCTCCATGTGCAAACACATTGGTTCAGCAGTGAGCCGTCTCTGTTGTGAGTCCCGACGTCTCGTTTCCACACTACGGGCTTCCTGCCAAGTGCATGGATCATTTAGTGAACATCACAGCGAGTTTCTGCACACACATCCCGAGTGTTTCCTGTGTTTGTAGTGCCACGGGTCTAATGGGTACTTTCACAAGGTCGAGAGGCTTGCAAGAGATGGATTAAAACGTTGAAATAAAGAGTGGTCAAAATCCCAGCGGAGCGTTTCATCGTCGATGTGTTTTCTCGGGCTTTAGACGGCTCCTTCCAGACCCACGTGTGTCTTTGTGCAACTAAGTCATGACAAAAGAGGACTTCTGAGTTGCAAGAGCATTCTATTTACTTTCCACATATTCCTAAACGTGTCAATGATCAGCCTCAGATCTGCTCCAAAGCAAATCCCTTATAGGATTAGGTCTGGTGATCCTTGATAATTTGTTGTTGCTCCCCCACAAAGCCCTGTTAACACCTCTGCATAACATTCAATCAACACTAAAGTGCCCATCTGTTCATGAAATCTAAAGCTTTTGTTGTTTTGAAATGAAATACACATAGTGTACAGACCCTTTCTCATTGAATGAGAAAATGTGTCCAAACCTCTGAATAGTATTGTATATATATATATATATATATATATATATATATATATATATATATTATTTGAAATGCTTTTATAAATGCAATCTGCCATTGAGATTAAGTGGGTTTGCTGAGTATTTGCTTCTGAGGCTGTTCGAGTATAAATGCAGATAAAATGTTCCTGTCATTACTTTAATCTGCAGGGTTCTGTCTGTCTTCATCTTTCCCCTCCGCTGCATACAATGCAACAACCCTGTGATACCCCCCCTCCTCCTCCCCTCTCCTCCTCCCCCCTCCTCCTCCCCCCTCCTCCTCGCTGTCTTCTCTCTCCGGAGGAGCGAGGAGGAGGAGAAGAGGTTGACAGCCTTTGAAGAGCTATTCTCTGCAGGGTTTTTATTTTTAGGACTCGCTCGGCACAGCACACATAGAACGACGCCCACACTGACTCGCACTCTTTTGCTTCATTTTGGGGTCATTTACATAATTTCTAATTAGTAAGTTTATGAATAAGGCGGAAGTGAAATGGGCAAAAATAGATATGCAGGACATACTTGAGTTGACTGAGCGATAGAGGATCTCTGAGGAAACGGTGTGAAATGGTCATTTGCAGCCGTCCGGCTGAGTTTCACGTCCACAGAAGACGAGTCTCCAAATTCTCCTTCTCCTCTTTCTCCCCAGACTCAATTGTGTCTTTGTCACAGCTAGTTCTGGAGACCTGTTAGGTAACTTTTGTTTCTGCGTGTTGTGTTTTCCCCTCTGTTTGTCGTCTGTGTTCCACCGTTCATTTGCATGCGTGTTGCTGTTGGTTTGCATCATGACCTCGTTGGATTGATCTTTTATTTCTCACCAGTAGGAACAGGAACACATTACGTCAATGTGTGTGCGTGCCCATAACAAATGTGTCCTGTACTGACGTCAACCCTTTATTTATAACCTCTGGGTTGTGAACATGCATAGACGAGTCAGAACCTCACATCCAATCTCCCACTGACCTATATTATTCAAAATGGCCGCTGCTGCACAGCGCGCATCCCACGCAGGAAAAGGAAACGTAAGAGCTGCAGACAGAAGGAGAGATAAGGGCAAGGCTACTGCTAGTGTGTGTGTGTGTGTGTGTGTGTGTGTGTGTGTGTGTGTGTGTGTGTGTGTGTGTGTGTGTGTGTGTGTGTGTGTGTGTGTGTGTGTGTGTGTGTGTGTGTGTGGGAGGAGGATATAGTGCAGGTAGAAGAATAAAAGGCAGCATGCTCGTCTTTCCTCACTGCATCCACACTTTGTTTTGGATCTGTTGTACTGCTTCCTTCCCTCCCTCCTTCCACCTCATGCATCCTTTTTCCTCAATTTCTGCATCCATGTTCGTCTCATTTTCACGCACCTGAACCTGCCTCCCACAGGATGAGTCACCCTTCGTTCTACCCCTTCCTCCTCTACGTTTTAAACGTTTATTCCCACTTCTTCATCTGAAAGTCTGCCGCACTTCGTCTTTACTCATTTTAAGATCAGGTTGAGTCTAAGCTGACGCTAGCAGAGTTAGCTCCAGATGTCGCATTAATCCACATGCGTACTCGGCCACATACTATTAAGCCTGTTGTGTTTTTTTTGTGTCACACTAATGCATGTCTCTCTGTTTCGGTAAGAAATGAAGCATCTTGCTTGTTCCTTTGTTGGAGTTCTTGGAGGTACCCAGGTATCTGCTATAAACATCTCGTTATTTTGATCTCACTAACTCGCCATTTGTCTTTCTCAGCCAACCACAGACGAGCTGGCAACGCGGTGACCAGCATCCTGGCCAAAGAGCTGATGCAGGAGGGGACGCCCTCGTCCAGCAAAAAGCCCGCCAAGAAGAAGTCTGATGTAAAGGAGGAGCCTGAACTAGAAGGAGCGCAGTCATTGGAGGAGTTACTGGACGCTACTTCCTCTCGCTCCAATTAGGCAAACGGGAGGGGTTTGGGTTTTTTTTTTTACTCACAGTCTGTGATATAAAAACACGGATGTATTTCGTAGCCATTCCAGGGGCCAATATCAATCTGAGATTAGCTCACAGGAAACGCCTCTGTGCTTCTCAGAGTTCGAGCTTCATCTCAACGGGATCTTCTTTAAGGGAAGCGCTGACCGCGCCTTCAGGGAGGGGCAGAGGATGAGGGCGGGCCTCACAGCTCCGCTTCTGGTTACTTTGCCATTGTCGTAAAGATTGAATTGCTTTCTTCAGCATGTGCACATATCTGTTCACCTATTTCTGTCTTTGTTTTTGACGTTATTCACCTGTCGTCGGACAAAGATCGACCTCAGCAGTTCCAAAGACTTGTGAGGACCCCCCCTTCTTGGTGTTTTTTGTTGTAGGCTGGGAATATCTGAAATCTGGCACATCCTGCTGATCCTTCATAGCCTTTTCTCTGGCTGTATCACGCTTATTCACTTATTCACTTTTTTTAATCCCATGAAACATACTGCTTTGTGCGCTCTCGTACGTTACCGTTTGTAATCATTATTCACTTTTTCTCTGTTTTTGAAGAAAGTGCCAACCAATGCAAATCCAGTCTTGTCATTTCCCTCCCCGGTTTGGTCCAGTTCACATTGGGCTGCTCTGTGGGAGAGTAAGCAGCAGTCATCACCGGGGGTTTTCTTTTATTTTCTACTGAGAAGGGATTTTGTTCACTGGTGTTCATGCCTGAAATGGATTTCTCAGAAAGACTGAGACAATTTAAACAAAGATACCACCTGTGCCCAAATTACATAAACATGCTTGCACCCGTTCACATCAACATCCTTATTGAGCCCGGGGAGCGTAGTAGAGATTTCATAAGGGTTCTTCTCTAAACCAAATTCGTTTAGCTTTTTATAAGGTGTATCCCTTTAAAATGCAACCCGGCACACTTTTTTAAAATTTTCGCATCAGTTTGTCAAGTATACCACATATATTCAGTTTGATGTGCACACTCACACCTCCCACATGTGGGTTTGTGCTTTTTAGGATTTTTTTTCGTGCATGCGTGTGTTGCCGTCTGTAATTACTGTGCAGCACCGACCGTGCTGTCACAATCCTCGGTTTCATAAACGGCTCTGTGGTCTTTCTCCTGAAGATATAGCACACAGGGAAACTGCCCCAAAACTGCCGAGACAAGAATGTGTGTTGGTGTTCACCCACTTTCCCTCCTGCTGAACTGCAACAGTTGTCGCTCCATGTCTGGCCTTTGCTCTTATGTGTGTTCAGTAATCATCAGCATACATGTTGCCATGATGTTGTAGTGTCATATCAGACGGAAATCCAGAGAGGGAGTGTCAGCTGCTCCGTATCATATTTATAACTATGCAAACACAATACTGTACTGCTCACAAGTTCTAAATCTACTGGATTCGTCACCATGCTGATTTAAGGCTTCATTTCGCCCGTAATGGAGGAAATACTTGTGAAATATCCAAAATGGAAAGGATTCACGGTTATTTAAGTACAGTACAGATCCTTGACCTGATCCGGTGCTGGTGATGCATTTTAAACCAGCAACAATTAGCATGATTCGCTCTCAACCACAACATATCTTGTAGCTGTAGTTAAGCAGGAGACGTGTCTGCTGTTTTATTATTCTGCCCGTCTCTTCAGGGGGACCATGCCAGGTGATTGTGTGTAAGGAGACAACGGTTGTCAGGACATCACTGGAATCTTTTTTTTTTTTTTTTTTTTTTTGGAGAGATTATTTTCTGTGTGAATTTTTACACTTATTTTATTGTATTTGACTGGAGAATATGTATACAGAATTATGCTTGTAGTAATTCTTTCATATGCAGAACTATTAAAAAAATCTTAAGGAATTTAAGGACGTGACTGGCTCATTCTGAAAGTGTGTGCATCATCTGGAAACGTCATTTCAATCCTAGTTTTTCTGTATTTTTTGCTTGAGTGAATCCCGCCCATGATGAGTCGTGATTTGCGATATTCTCCGTCCCGTAGCGGTCATCCTAGCCACTACAGACCGGTTCTGGGAATACCCTGCTGTGTCATACTGGCTACAGGGATGCACACCCAAAGTAGCTGCAGAAGTTTCCCAGGCTTCTGCCTCGTCTGTATGTGAGGTGAGTTCATTCGGTCTTTGAAAATGTTTTCTTCCACATCTCCTACAATGATCTCGTATTCTCTCACACACAAACCTTTGCAACTGCATCACATCGCACACAAAAGTCAGTACAGGGGCCACCTGTGTTAATGAAGATGACAAAAACTCATTTATGGTTAATTGGGCACAGATTTTCTTTCATAAAAATCCATAGAATACAATGTCCTGAGAAATGATTTATTGTAGTGTATGATAAAAAGCCTATACTTTGTTTGAAAATAAAGTATAGTATAACAAAGTCATGGACTACAATTTTGGTAAATTTGTAAAAAAAAGTCAGTGTATGTGAATGTCCAAAGAAGTGTACTGAGTGTTTGACATTAGAAAAATGAAAAAACAAAGAAAATCCTCATTCAAATATTAAGATATTGAAAAGAAACCGACTAATCATAACTTTTATGAACTAACCACTATTGTATGTCAATTTTTCTGTATTTCTAAATGTTATAAAAGACTGTCAGAAGAAGTCATAGTATACACGTTTCTTGACATGATTTACTAACATAGTATTTATAAAGTTTGTGCGTTATACTATTTATTCATACATTTTTTTAGAATTCATCACGAACATGAGAACAAAGGTCCTAGTTCAGCATAATTTAGCCAGAATATTTTAAACATTGTCATAAAAAGATCATTGTAAAAAGTGATTAACAGTTTCAGAAAGAAATGCTTTGGGTGGCATTTCATAAAAAGTCAAATATTTATCAAAAAAGTCATTGTATTGCATGAAAAACTAATACTATATCATAAAAAGTCATGTTCTACTGTGTCCTAAAAAGTTATATAATCATGGTAAAGCTCAATTCACTGGTTGTTCTTTAAATCATTCCACACAGCGCCATCTCATAAGAAATCATCACACTCAGTATATCGTGTATTTGCATGCTAACATGCTAACAAGGTAAACATGGTGGACATATTACCTGCTGGAACTCTCTAGCGTGGCTAGACTTCTATTATTGCCCCGCAAAGAAGGAATACATTTTTAACATGAATTGGTTTGTCACTTTGAAATCAACCTCATGACTTTTATTATAATCAGTGAATTATTTCAGAACATCAGCCCTCTAATCTGCAACAGAAACCAAACATGCTGAGGTTTAGTCCAGTAGAGTCCGTTCGGAGAGACTTGTCATATGTTCAGATCCTCCTGATTCCCAGACTCCTGCCTCTTGCTGTCACACTCTGGGCAGAAGGGGCGTGACCTCTAGACGTGGGCGTCTGCGTGGACGCCCTTATGTGTGTGAAGGGGGTCCGCTGGAGACAACGGGTCTGAACAAAGAAAGAGGGGCAGTATAATTGGCTTCAGCACTGCCAGACGACACAATGACACAGCCACTGATGGCGCAATGAGTTCCTGGGAGCGGCGGACCAATGGCCGAGCAGCGGCCTGTTTTTCAGAGCTTCCGATTGGCCGGTTGAGGGAGGCTGTCGGTCTCCAGGTAGCGGAGTAACCCCCCCTGCCTCCTGGAGGAGGGAGGGAGCACTGGATGTGGAGGAGAAGACGTGACCTCTGTGGAAGGAAGAAAAGAATAGATTCACATGCACACCTCATAGTGTCATTCATTTTTGTGCGACTACCCTCCTATTTCCTTGCTCGCTTCTACATCGAACTGTCTTCTCCTCTTCTCAGACCCAGACGTTTTGTCTGTGAGCTTTTCTCTGGCTGCCATCAGCTCCCACATTGCCAAGGCTGTAAAATAAATGGGCTTCATTTGTGTCTGACTTGGCTGTACACTCCACAGCTTCTCCCGTTGTCCATTTCAGAGAACCGCGGATTAAAGCCTCACTTCATTTGTTTAGATTGGCCATTTCTCAACCACCCTGCTGCTGCAGGAGAGAAACGCACACTACGGGGGCCATTCAACTCCAGAGAAACGGGGTTTAAATAACTAGTGAAAAGGGGGAGGAAGAAAAAACCCTGCTTTAACTGTTCAGCGACTGCATATTTAGAATTCATGCCATGTGCATTTCTGTCCTTATTTTCTATCATTATGAATTTTCCTGACAGGACATAAATTCACGCGCCTGCTTCGTAGTGTGTAAATGTGTCCCTCCCTGCATCGGCCCTGATATCTTAATAATATCACTTAGATCAAATGACTCGCTTCCTTGTACAACACTCTTCATGTGACACACAATTAGCAGACTATTAACATGGAGGCCAGGGAGCGTCAACCGATTGGCTGCGCCATCACACCGATGAGTGACATCTCCATCACCACCGCGCTGCCAGACTCGCCCCGAGGCGTCCAGTTAAAAGCCACCGCCCGCCCGCCTGAGAAATCTGTGTCAGTCTGGTTCTCCTTCTCCGTCAACCCATCTGTTGAGTTGGTTATTTTTCTCCTTTATATTCCCTTGCATCCTGTCTCGCTTCCTACAGGAAGACTTCTTCCTGCCTTCCTCCATCCCTTTGTTTCTAATTATTTCCCCGTCTCCCGCCTGCCGTAAGATTTTTCCGACTATACCTCTTCAGTTTGTGTGTTTGTTCATCTGGAAGTGAAGCTCTAAAACAACGGGATGTTTGTCTGATGAGAAAACCTTCAGCATGTTCTGCAAACAGGCATGAACTTTTGTGACCCGCAGGCTCTTATGATGTGTGTGTGATCTGAAGACGCCGAACATAGAGAATACGATCTAATCATTGAATCCCATTAAAGAGAGACTGGTGCTGTCTGAAATAGACTTTTTGTGTATCTGTATGTTTTTATAGGAAATGTGTAAAAGTTTGACAAACCAAACAAATTTGCTTGGCTCCGTTTGCTCGCTCACTTTTCTGTGTTACCCATCATCCTCGTCAATAGTCAACACGCTATGATGAAATATCGATCCATCATGTATTTATGCAACAGGCTTGTTTATGTCGACATTTTCCCCTTCTATTATTGAGGGAAGCTGATCTCACGCATGCGCATATCCATGAACCCCACAATCCCTAAAGCCCTTCACATAAATACAAATAAATCCTGCCATCACCCCACATTTTATTTTATTTTTTCTTTCCCTAATCCACAATATTATGGCTCATCCCAGCAGATCAGTGGGTTTCTCGGGGGAAAGATTTTGTGCCATTTAGTGAGAAGAGGGTCTGTCCGCTCAGGCCGATGCAAACAGAATATCAATAAGGGGTCACACAGCCACATTCATGGCCATGAAGCTCTCTCCCTCTCTACCACCTAGCAGTAAGGAATACATACACAGTCCTCCCTTGTATAGTAAACAAATACAGATACTTATGGAAGAAGCACGTTGTTTGTTGCTTAAATAGACAAAGGCCCTTGTGGAGGTTTTGAGACCGGTAGCAGTACAGAGTGGATGCACTGCTTTGGTGCGATTCTCTGTCACATAAGTGTCACATGTTAATGTGACTAAAGCTGAACGGGATGGGTTGTGAATACACTGCAAGTTTAAATGTCCCATCTTTTATCAGGCAACCAGTGATTAGAACAGAAATTAAAATTTCTGTTCTAAATTTTGAGGCCTCTAACACAAGATTAGTGAGCCTGAGGTGTTTTTGCTGAATAGTTGGGACAATGTAGGCGTTCTGTATGTTTGTGTTTCATAAAAGAAGACAGTCATGGTTTTCCACCCCCGTGTCCAATGTTTCTCTCAATGTGCTTTGCTGTGTTGGCGTGAACCACATCTTCTAAATAGTCGTCATTGATGAGACAAAAACTGGCACAAACTGCCGAGGTGCAGTAGACTGTGACGGAGCGCTAACGCTGACCTGAAGACGCTGATCACGGCGTCCACGTGGAAGCCTTGGGGCTGTTGCGTCTGTCCCGACTCGGGCTCTAATCACACGGGTCTGAAGTGTGTCTTTCTGTGTCACACACACACATTGTGTTTAAGTTTACTGGTCACATTTTCAGGATATTGTGAAAGGAGGGATCAAGCATTTCTTTCTTGAGTGTCTTTGGTTGTGTGTGTGTGTGTGTGTGTGTGTGTCCCTGCCCCCTATCTGTCCATACACATTGATGGACGTAGTCGATTGACCTAAATTAGCTGAGCCTGCAGCAGTCTGATTTCCTCGAGGGGCAGTAAAGTATAACCCCATCAGAAGAGGGTGAACAGGGGGGGTGAAGATAACCCGTCTACACCCACAGTGACATTTAGGGGTTGAATGGCGCGGACTCTAACGCATACAGACCTTTAAACCTCACACAATGCCGTTTGTCTCAAAAAGATGTAGATGAGTGTTGGTGACAGATTATATTTCCATGTCCAAGATCCTTTCTGATAATAAAGGGACTGCATGTCCATGTTCTTAATGTAGACTTCGATCTATGTGCAAAACGTCCATAAACACATTTTCTTTTAGTAGTTGATTAATACACAGAAAGAAATTACATTTAAATAACATTTAATGTTAACACTTTCTTGAAAAAATGCCGAATCAGATTTTATGGCTTTTCTGTCTCATATTTTTTTAATAATGAATTGTTTTTAAAACAAAAAGCTATTTTTGTTCTGGGAAATTCTAATTGGTATTTTTTTTGCAATTAATGACTGTTTATTTTCTTAATGTTTTAAATAATCAAAGGATTGATAATTATCTTATGTCAGATTAGAGCAGATGTTGCAGCTTTTTTCTATATATGAAGGACATGAAACAAGATTTGATGAAAGGAGAAAAGGGGTTTTCAAAGACATGAAACACAAATATGTGATTTACAGGAAAATGGCTATTTTTAAATAAA